TTTAGAGTATTTCACAGAAAAAAAAATCTTTTTAGTAACAACAACACCGTCCATCGAAATCAAAAACCGATACAGGGACTGTATATATCGTAGTGTAGTCTACATGTTTGCATACTTATATTGAAGTCAGACAAAAATTGTAAGAGGAGAAGCATGTTTCAAATTTTTGTTACAGATAAACAGACAGACGGACAAACAATTGACGCATAACTTTCGAATAAACTAGTTTGACCTCTGTAAGTATGCAAAAAATGGAAATAAGGATGTCAGGGATCTTTTAACCATCAAAGCAATTAGTTTCTCTTTGCACAGACTGTGTAACTAGAGCAGTATAATATGAATTAATGTTTAACCTCAGCTGAGTTTATGACCAAAAAAAAAAACCAAAAAGGTCTTCCGTCGAATTTTAAGCTGCAGACAGGAAAAGGTGACTTCACATCAGGTCATGCGACATTCTAAAGTAATACATATGAGCAAGTTTGTGAGGGAAGCTACATACCATGCTTCGCTAGAAAAAGACTGGGGGAGTGCACGTGATGTTGACCTTTCCAAAGGAACTTGCGTCTCGGGATATAAATCCCAATCTGCTTACACATTGTCTTGGAGATTTTCTTTTCGACCATACATCCAGTCAAAAAATTCTTATCCTAAATATCCTTGAATTTGAGTCAAGATCAAGTCACACCCTGTATGATACCAGCAATATTTCACTTGTGAAGATACAGTAATGAAATTTCTTTGTACGTGACCTTGAATCATTCATATAACCTTGCATCATTGATAAAACACAAACTGATTACATGTAAGATTAATCCTAATAATCGATTAGACTCTGATGTTGACAAAGACTTTTTTGGGGTACAAAGAAAATAAATTTGTCATCCAGGTCCAATCAGGGGTGTACGGGGATTTAACCCGGGTTGTATTCCATATACCCTTCGGCCTCAGGGTGTATAAAATAATGATTCTTTGGATCAGATCCTATAAACGATTGTCTCCTGTCGGGGGTGTCGTTATGAAATACTATATTCCAAACACTTTGAGGCTGATTTGAACAAATATTAATGTAAATTACCTAGGATCCAGTTAAATTTTTATGACCAATCATTGCTCTGTTGTGCTGAAAAAGATTTATAAATCTCTCTTTATGTTTCTCAATTGTTATAATTTTGATCAACTATTGTTGTCCCACCTTACCCCATAGGGTCATGATTTGAGCAAACTTGATTCAACACTACTAAGGTTGCTTATACAAAAAAAGATCAATCCGGTCTTTGCTGTTTTTGAGAAGATTTTAAAATAATTTCCCAATGTTTTCCTGTGAAAATATTTAATTACACATTATAACTCAACCTTTCTCCGGGGGAAATGTTTTTAGGAAACTTAATTCCACAATACCAAAGTCTCCTCAATATACATATGACTTAGCAGAAGACCAAGAAATCGGTTCAGTGTTTCTTGAAAAAAAAAAATTATTAAAAAATGTGAAAAGTTTATTGGCAGATAAAAAAAAAAAAGCACAACGCATGTTCTACTTTAATTTAATTAATTAAATACGTAGTTAAAGATTTCTTTTAAAGTGAGCTTAACACTAATTTATTTTGAAAGTCTCACTAGTCTGTGTTTAAAATATATTTTAGTGTCTTTGTAACGCGTTTTTCTATCATTGCAAGTCACCACAAATCACTTTTTATCTCAAATCATGCTAATAAGCATTGGTATCTAAAGTTGGATTCAAGAAAATTTTATTTTTCTATAATTGTATGAATTTTTTTCCTCTTAATTATAGGGTACAAATATCAACTTTTATAAGACCTTTTCTAAGACTTCCAAAAACCTTGAATCTTATAAAAATGAATAAACTGAATGATGCATGAACAAAATTCATTTTCAAGATTCATTTTGATGCATTTCAAATTAAATATTAATTTTTAGAGTTATTCTTCCTGGCTGAAGATCGGATATCCTTAAAGTGCTTTCAAGAAAATACAGAAAGAAAAGAGAAAACTTCATCATGACTTAAGCAGTTCCATGCTAAAAAGAAAACCTACTGCGTAAAATGTTATAATCCAAGAAGCACAAGTACAAACTATAGATTATAAAGAATTTAACAAAAGAAGGGCACCAAAAGTAGCTTTATCTTACACATAGTTTTTACTATTACATGTACAATAGCGGTTATCGGTTACCCAATATACATATTTGTCTTTCTTTGAAATTATGATATTAATATTATAATATGCAAAAATTACAGAGATTATTTAATAAACATGAAAATACATGTACCATATGAAATAATTTACCTACAGTGAGATTTTAAGAAAAAAATGAACACTTTGAAAAAATATGTACTGTACACAATTCAATTAGAAATCTAGCAGACTTATGATTATTTCTGTTACAGCTTTGAATGAAAAAAAAATTAATAAAGTAAAACGTTTGCAATGAAAATAATAACGTAAAACAAGGAAAACATTATCAAATATACAAGTCAGATACGAATAGATACATATGATGGACGAATTAAAGGAACCAGTGAAATCATAGAATACATATATGTAAAACTACTCAGGCAACTAAATCAAGATGCACAAAAAGAACTTTTGGTTGATCAAAGTTTAAATCACATTTATCAGAAAAATATGAAAAATAAATACAAAAGAATATATTCATACATAGAATTTCTTAAAAATTCATAATATATTTCATAATATATTTCATAATTACACAATAAGGAAAAATAATCTGTCAATCTATTTTAACAGTCCTTTTAAACCAAAAAAATTTTAAAGCCGAACACATAGGGACCTCTGAAACATCAGAGGTAGGATCAGGTGTCATTAAGGAGTGGGCATCCCCTATCGACTGGTCACATCCGCCGTGTGCTCCTTTTTGTGATTGGGAAAATCGGAAAAGTCCATAGATTAATCGTTATGTGAATTTTGGCATATAATCATAAGTATAAAAACGTAATTCAGCATTTGTCGTAATAAAAGTTAGTAATTGCTGACCAGAAACTTTAAAAGGAAACATGGGGCCCATGGGGCTTATAGGACACCTGAGAATCATGCAACGACTTTCCAGTGATTGAAATGATTCATGTTTTAAGCCAGATGCTATGGCATTTACAATTTTGAAAGAAGCTCAATTGATCATCATAACTATACACTTAGCAGTTGTTCAGTTTTGTTACTTAATACCCATAGGCAGGATATGGGAACAGAAAAATGCATTTCAACTAATTAGTAATATTCATCAATAATCAGTAGTGCCCCTACCACAGATGAACCCCTTACCAGTAGAGCTAGATCCACAAATTGCACAATTTTTGAAAAGGCATCCTTGTTTTTCAGAAATATTTGAGGTAACAATTAAAATATTGTTGGTTTGACGTTGCCGACTCAGTCTTTATACGTTTGGGTCGGTAGGTAGGGGAAATATTTTTTTTTCAATTTCAGAAATGTTGATAGTATTCTGGTGTTTTGGATGTCCGGTTGTGTAAGAGCAACTGCGGTGCTAATTGATTTCCAATTGCTATTCATTTTCAAACCCTATTAGTTTTAAACCTTTAATATAATTAATTGGTAAAAAAAAAATTGCGTACAATAAATTGACATACATGAAATTTGTTTTCAGATGCAAGAATCCAAGCATGGCTGCTAGATTCATCTAGAAAATCACACATGACTTTGTACTTTGAAATTTCTATTTCAAATTATTATAACTGATTCGTCAGTACATTTTTGCTATTTTAAAACACATTATCGCAGAGAGTCATCAACTTCTCTTAGGCCAAATTTTTGTTATTAGTTGTTTTACGGATCCGCCGACCCCATTTTTCTAAGTTTTGGAAAAAAAATAAAAATTCCATTCAATCCTTTTTTTATAATCGCCGATCGATCTTGACTTCAAACATATTAAAAAAATCCGGAAATGACCGTACATTGTTTGAATTTTACTTAGTTGTGAGAATCATGTAAACGCTTACAATATTGACCCTTTTTAAAAAAAACTCTGCAAGCGTTTTATAGTCAGAGATGAAATAAGTATGACGGCCATGTGAAATGTATGACGGTTTTTATGAGCTGATCAGGCTGGTTATTATTCTGTATATGATGTTATCTGATCAGCGAATGGAGTGTGGTGGTTGAGGAAATTACAGCCAAAGCCAACGAATCTGATGTCGTCACTTGCACTCCATCCGACACCCATAACTTTTCTTTGAGGGTTTGGTGAAGTTTTAAACAGTTATATCTAATGGTTAGTTAACAGTTCATACATTATTTATGACATTTTTAAAAGCAGATGTTTGACTGTATTTTAAAAATCTGCAAGACGTGTTGTCAACTGTTAAAGCGTCAGAGAAACACAAGACTTTTTTGTCATTGTACAGGTATGAATCTATCAAATGATGTGAAAGAAATGTTTCTTAAAGTTTTAAATTTTAGATTTGGAAAAGGAACTGACTCATCAGGATGTTCCAAGACAAAAAATGTTTGTATGAGAGTCATAGGAATGTGAAACCCTATGGGTATGACTTATCATTCTAGTAAGTTTATTTGTGTCCAGTGATTGTGCACTGAATTTTAGTTTTATACTGTTTAAGAAAAGGTATTATCTGAATTTGATTAAACTTTTATTATTTTACAGGGGGTTTTGTAAAATTTGCTGAAGTGTCTTTTTCTGTGGCAATGTCCACGTAGCAGTGAGAGGACACCCGTATCCAGTCATAGACATACACAGAAAAGTTTAGCATTGTTCACATAATATGTCTCTCTGCTCGAAGAATCGTTCTGTTGTAGTGAGGAATGCCAAGAAAGACATTTCTGTGCAATGTTGTGAGGTTGATTTCCCCAACTGCTTTGATATGCTGCATATTAAAAGTTTTGAACATTGAACACTTCTTCTTTTTCTTTTCTTTTCTTTTTTTTGTAGCCACCCAATGGACACTTTCCAAAAAAAAAAATCCGTAAAACAACTAATAAAAAAAACGCCTTATAACGAGTTTACATTACCGCTTTCAACATTTCGACAGCCATGCTTGGATTAGTGATGCGCACATTCAACATCACAAAGACGCTTTTAAATGAAAACTGTTCTATATATCAAGCGTTTAAATGACTCTTTCCAATTTTGTGTATTATTATTAAAACGTACAGACACCTAGATCCGGATGAATATAATGAAAAGAAACTACAATCCGTATCAGTTGATAAATATTCTTTGGACTGCATGGATTTACTTGAGTCAAAAGTCACATCAAACAAAGCTAATTCTATTACTGGCCTGATTAAAACCAAGGAGCAGATTTCAAACAATTAATTCATTTTCAGTACATTGTATATAAGTACAGCCCCCCTCCCCCTTCCATGGTACCCCTGACCCTGGGGCATTGAAATTCACAACTCGAGAAGATTAGGGTCCTTGCTCATCATAACAAAATAGCTTGTTCATCTGCTTAATACCCTGGAGCAGAGAAAAAAATTTTCAAAGAATTCATGTATTTTTATTATATAATCAATAGAGCCCCACACTAACACCAGAACCCCTGACCCTGGGGCCATAAAATTCACAATTCTGGTAGAGCCACTCTTGCTCATCATAACTTTGCACTTAAATAGTTAAATTAAATCCCAGGAACAGAGAAGAAGATTTTCAAAGAAATCATGTATTTTCACTATACAATCAATAGAGCCCCATCCTAACACCAGAACCCCTGACCCTGGGGCCTTAAAATTCACAATTCTGGTAGAAACACTCTAACTCATGATAACTATGCACCTAGTTAGTTTATTTAATACCCAGGAGCAGAGAAGAAGATTTTCAAAGAAATAATGCATTTTCACCATATACTTAATTAGCCCTGCCCTAGCAGTAGAACCCCTGACCCCAGGGCCATGAGTTTCACAATTTTGGTAGAGGACTCAATGCTGATTACAATCATGCCAACAGTTTAACTGCTTGATCTTCAGGAGTGAATAAGAAGATTTTTAAAGATTGCATAAATTTAAGTGGTTTTGGCCCCACCCCTTAGGCCCCAGGGGGGCAGGGATCATGAAATTCATAATTTTTGTTCCCCTTTACCCATAGATGATTTGTGCCAAATTTGGTTGAAATTAGTTCAGTGGTTGCAGAGAAGAACCTGAATGTTCAAATATTTACGAACGACGACGGACGAAAACGGATAGCAATAGGTCACATGAGTTTACTCAGGTGACCTAATGATTACTTCAGGTGAGACTGTTGATCAATACACAAATTATTATGCAGATAACACTTGTTCTTTTTTCACAGAAAACCTGCCTATTAACATATCCTTACTGAAGCTAGGCAATTGCACAATCAGCACCTCTTTACTGCATTATACAATCTGTAGAGATCAAGATTCTTTGATGATTTTTTAAAATCCACTTTTACCTAGAAAATGCTAATAGATTTTACACAGTTTTTGTTCGCAGTTGTCTCCCTAAACGTTTGGTATTTCTTTAAACCTTGGTTGGTATTTTATGTTGATGAATATATTAACTTTTCGAATTTCATGAATTGTAATAAATGGCTCTAAAAACTAGATTTTCAGTTCTTGAGGAATCTCGGGCCAAATTATCTAATTCTTATAAACAAATAATGTTGAAATAATGTTTTGAACTTTAAAAAAAATGTTAGTTAAACATGTCATTTTTAAAGTAATTCACCAGATACTTGGGTTGTGGAAATAAAATCATGGACTACTGTCATAACTTATTTTTAGTGCAAGGCATATCGTATCCAAATTTGGTAGATATGCTGGAATGATAAATTCAAATGAAATGCATTAAGAAATCTTATGAACTATATGATTCATTTTTTTGTATAGGATATCTAATTCTTTCAGGGAGATCTAATTCAAGTGACTGTAACATCTCCTTTTGTGACTTTTCATACTTTGTTTTTGCGTTTTGCGTATTATATTGTTTTCATTTCTCTCTTTTTTAAAGTCAGTTTTTCAATGTCAAAGCATTATCGAAATACTTCTTACCAGTGTACATTTCATATCTTTTACAGATATCAAACGCTTGCAAAGCCATAAAAAATGTATTCCCTAAGTTAAAAAAAACTTAAAATACTTTAAATTAATACTCAGGTGAACGAAACATGCTATGAATAATAACCGTAGTCCGAAGCATGCTTAGCCTCAGACCTCAATACTGCTGCTGTAAGTTTCTGAACATCCTTCATGATTGTCTTCATCATTTCATGCTGACTTTCCATTTTAACCTTTTCTATAATATCATCTTCATCTTCCTCTTTCAGTGTCAGTTTTTGGATGAATTTAAATTTATCCAAGTACTTTTTTCCAGTGAAGGTTTCAAGCCTTTTGCAGATATCTGACATCATTAACCAGGTGTCATCGAATTCTGTCTGAGGGGTTGAAGCTGAGCTAACGTGTGCAGTCAAACCGTTTCGGATTGATCTAATTCTCTCGATATCATCACCCACGGTCACTTCTCCTGCTGCAGGTTCTTCTCCCCATTTTCCTTTTGTTGGTTTGGGAATCTTTTTACAAATGTTTCTTATCATTGTGTATGTTAATGAGATATCAAAATTCTTATACCCTAATAGTTGAGCATTTTGTAAAAGATGTTCTTGCTCGGGGCGTAATCTTTTATAAATTGATGATGCTTTCACCTTGTTGTAAATAACGGAAGGGGGGACATCCATCTCTAGTATATCTCTATATGCCTGATTTAACACATCGTTTGATGCCATTCCAAGTTTGGCAAATCTAGATCGGCCTCCGAGATCTTGTCCAGAAGCCACTGCAGAGACTGAAGTCTTTGTTTTCGGCTGAAACAATATTCGACTTCATTTAGTTAATTTGATCAAGTAGAAATAATAAAAAGATGAGACTAAGGGTACAACTTAAAAGATAAGAAATTGACACAAGAGTAATTTTATTAAGAAATTTTTAATATATTAAAAGTATGAAACATCAGCTGTTTTAATAAAATTTGGAAATACTTTCTAAATGATAAATGGTCTTCTTCAACTACCTGCTAGAAATGTAAACCATGATTGTATTAATTTAGGTAGTAAAAAATATCAGATAGCCCCCCCCCCTCCAAAAAAAAACTTCTTCGCATTAAAGACTTGTTAATTATATGGAATCTATCATGTTCATACTATGGGTTATTTACTTGGCTTAAATCTTGTCAACTGTATTTTAATGGAAATAAAATGAACTTTAAGAGATCATTATACTTTAAACTAAACCTTCATGATGCACAACTATTCCAAATGGGTGTAAAACTGTCTGTTTGTCAAAGACTCAAAGGAGTTTAAATTTAATCATAGCTACTAAGAAACATAGCATATAAACATGGTCAAAATGAGCTATATTCTTTTAAAAATAATCTCAAATGACTCCATCTAAGATGCTTATGCTGCATCTAAAATTAAAAATTTCCCTACCCATTAGTGAATTTTGTATTTGACTGAAATAAGATTATTTTGGCTGGTACAAGTTAAACAAAAGGACAGATTTTCAAACACAAAACATAAGACTTTGACCCGGAAAAGAACTGCAGCACCTTTAACAGAAAAAGGAAGTTCACATTTAAAAATACACATATGTGTACTTTTCAGAAGCAAAATCAGTCTTTTTTACTTAAAATAATTTAAATACTGAGTATCATACCTCTATCCAAAACATTGTGATATCGTTTGCTTTGATGATATGCTTGCTTTCTATTGGACAGGAAGGACACAGAAAAGATGGTTGACTAAATTCTGCTTCATCAATTACAGAGCTTTCTTGGTTGTCGCAAAATCCCACAGCTTTGCATTTGAATCCGAACATGAACTTAAAGTCTGTTTGGAATGTTGTGGATAGAATACTTAGTAAACTGTCAATCTTTTTCTTCACTTCGTGGCATGTTGATAGCTCAACTTCTCCTTCAATAACAAACACTTGCAGCTGAATTTCATTTGGAGTCATTCCAAGAAGAACGTTGTGACCCTGAACTGTGAAAATAGCTGCGGTCTGGTAAATGCATGGTCTTTTTCTCTCTGTAAGGATCTTCCAGTTAATCTGCATGCATGTAGCTACAAGGCGATGGAAAATTCCAGCAGGAAGAACATCAAACATGTAGCATAGGATGGAGGAGGCAGGGTATGGTGAGTATTTCACAGGAAATGGTATTTTGTTCATACAGGGAACATACCACTTATTGTCACTCATTTTAGCTAAGAGTCCTAACTTCTCCATGTACAGCATGATCTCCTTTTTATGTTCAATGTAACCATTGTTGTACATTTCCCATATAGCAGACAACAGATTATCAGGTAACTCCCCCGTTTCGTTGAATTTGTCCCACTCTGCAGTAAACTCAAGTAAATCTTCCTCTGCATGGTTTTTATCTGTTATAATATTTTTAAATGCATCAGCAAACCACTGAACATCAAGAATAATTACATCTTGGAGATATTCTTGAACAAAGAATAAAATTTCTCTGATGTCATGGAAGAACTGCAGCATAACATTGATATCATCTATTTTTTGGAGCTTTATCCCCTCTGGCAATGCTTCATTGAAAGCAATGAGTGCATCTATCTTTAAAATCTTGAGTTTTTTCTTTTCCTGAAAGAATGTTTCAAACATAGCCCATGAGCGAGGAAGCTCTTCACCCCAGTGATCAAGTTTACCTACAACATCAAGGATTGACAGCTTGATACTCTCGATGCCTTCGTTGTCGTTGAATCCAATCACAAATTGCCGCTTTACACTGAGATGTTTCTGCAAAGATTTCTTCATTTCTAAAGTTTTCCATACCTCACGGAAAAACAATGTTTTTTCCTGGAAGAAAGTATATATTTAAGACATGTGTTTTCACTGCACTTATCTTTAGAAATTTATGATCTTATTTCTGCATTGAGTCAAAATATTTGCATATTGATGAAACAGATCATGGCCCTTCTTATCCTGTAAAGAACACTTTGAAACATTTGTTCCTTTATATTTCATGAAAGAAAGTCATTCTACTCTGTAAATGAGCCTGGCTCTCTGTACTTCTGAGTACTTTTATTTCCTTTACTTTCTTCAGATCAGATTATCTAATACATGTAAGGTGGCTAATATTTTAATTAAAGAAATATATATCTTTTATTAACTGAAGGAAAAAATGTATGAGTACTTTTTCTGTTTTCCCCTCACTGTGGGTACCAACCAGGATAACGGGGGCTTTCTCACTGCTGTACTGATGAACTGACTTCATCCAGAATTCAAGATAATCTGAAAAACAAATATAAACAACAATTAATTTAAAGTAGACAAGATATTTCGTTCTAATTTAAGATTTAAAAATTATATAAATGCTCATGAATCACAATAGACCCTAATGTCTTGACCAGATTTCTTTTCATTAATTTTTCTTCCGGCCACGTGATGAGCCGAGCGTAAGTGTCTTTTTCCAGCTCCGCTGTTAGTCTCTTAAATTCGTCATTTCAATCTTCGTATGAGATCTTTCAAACAGTTAAAAACTGTCCATCTTGTTAAAAACAACTACAAGTAACTATAATTGTGATTTGTAAACTTTTTTTGTGAAGACACGGTGGTTTTCTCCCTGCACCATATGTACCGTGAGTAGCTACTCACAATGCCGCTCACAACGCAGAAAGATGGTAAAAAATCAGAGAGTGTTGGAGCCGATTAAAATGGGTGAGAAGAATACACCAGACAGAAAATTGATGCAATTGATTGATTGATTGTATATTGTTTAACGTCCCTCTTGAGAATTTTTCACTCATATGGAGACGTCACCGATGCCGGTGAAGGGCTTCAAATTTAGACCTATACTCGGCACTCAGGGCCATTGAGCAGTGAGGGTTCTTTATCGTGCCAACGCCTACCGTGACACGGGACCTACGTTTTTAAGGTCATATCCGAAAGACCCGTGACTTTCACTTCTAGTGCCGAGCGCTTGGCGAAGGAACAGTCACTACCTATGTTTACGTCTCAGGTATGACACGGCGCCGCGATCGAGAATCGAACCCGGGCCTCCCGATCACGAAGTGATGCAATTGAACCTCCAGTCAATTCCTGCTTCAATTAAAAATACGGTAGTGTCGGGAAAAAATGCCACAAAAAAAAACAAAGAAGTAGCAGATCTGAATACGAGTCAACCGGTGGTGCCAATAGTGCATTGAATGAGCTCAGTCTTTTACAAGAAGGCACATCGGATATAAGGCGAATAATGGTCAGTAAAGACAATGTAAAAGAAATAGTCACTTCAATCGTGACCAAATAAAAGGGTGAACTAAAAAAAGAAATCCTCGATGAAGTCAAAGAGACACTCATACCTGAAGTTAAGCAGAGCGTGACGGAGCAGGTAAAGAAAGAATTCGGGGAAAAGATAGAAAAACAAAGGAGTTTCAAGATCAGACCAAAGATATCTCAGAGGGGTTTAATTTAGAGTTTGAAACAATCAGAGAAAAGTTTCACGAGCAAGCAAAAGAACTCAGGACCCTAAAAGAAAATTTGAAACGTTATCAATCTTTGACTGAAAGAAATTGTTGATATTAATTATGATTCACAACTACCTAAAATAAGAGATTTGATTAAACAATGGAAACAAAGAATTCTAACTCCAATTGGACGCATAATTGTTGTTAAGACTCTTATCCTACCTAAGCTTAATCATTTATTTATTTCTTTGCCATCTCCTAGAAAACAGTTTCTTGTTGATCTGCAAAAAGATATTTTTGAATTTATATGGAAGTCCAAATCGGTTAAAGATAAAGCGATCCCTTGTCACACAAGACTATCTTTCTGGGGGTTTAAAAATGGTCGATGTAGATAATTTTATAATTGCTTTAAAATCTTCTTGGATGAAAAGGTTAACTCAAAAACAAAAGCCATGGATGGATTTTTTTTTTGCGTTGAATGGAAAAGATGTTATTGAGAAGTTATTTCATTTTGGGGATCTGTTTATTTTAGAGCATTTAATTCCTAAAACAATGCTTTCTGGCAAGATGTATTAAAATCATGGCTGGAAGTCATGAAGTGTCTAAATAAGTGTAAAAGTGTAAAAATTAATTTTTCAAATATCCCGGTGTGGTACAATTCTAATATCCTGGTTGGTAAACCGTCTGTATTTATCAAAAATTGGTATGAGAAAGGAGATTTTTTAGATAGTGAAGGATATTTTTTATGCTTTGATTCTTTACAAAAAAGATTTTGCCTCTCACAAACAGATATAAATAAGCAGATTATGCAATATAATAGTGTTCTTACTGCAATATCAAAATATTTGAAATGTATGTCTATTGACAAATCCTTATCCACAAAATCTTACAATACACTTATGCCCTTTTATTATGAATTGTTGTTACAGTCAGAAAAATGCACTAAGCCAATTTACTCTATTTCAAACACAAATAATGTTAAACCTACATCTACATCAAAATGGATTTCCATTTTGAGTATCTATGGGCAGTGTAATTTTGAAATACATGATGTTTTTAAAGTTTGTTTTAAATTAACAAGTGATACAGCTGTTCAATGGCTGCAGTTTAGGATACTGCATAGGATTCTTCCCGTAGGTTGCTATCTTAAAAAGATTGATATTAAAACTACTGATTTTTGCACCTTTTGCAAGAATGAAAGAGAAACAATTCAACATGTATTTTTATTTTGTAATAATATTTTGCCATTGTGGAGTAGTCTTAGCCGACATATATATATAGAACTACTTCAAAAAGGATCGGATTTAACATTAATAATGTAATATTAAGAGATTCCTTTGTCAAAAAATAATAGAATTGTAAATTTTATTATAATATACACTAAACAATATATCTTTACTTGTTTGATGCAGAAGAAAATGCAAAATTTTAGTGCACTCTTATGTCATCTAAGAATCAAATATAACGTTGAAAAAAATTTTCAATCCAAAAGAATAAAATTGTATATTTTAATTCCATATGGTGTACATGGAAACCTGTTTTTGATGAGTGACAGTTCAAATTTCATTTACTATTGTTAATGTCTTTTATTCTTTTTTATCTCTATTTTATCCTCAATACATGATCATATTGTGGATAAATGAATATGTATTTAACAGTTCGGATAATTTATACATAATATTATAAGGTGTTGGAGGAAAAAGTGACAAATTGAATTTACATGTATTATCCTTTTTTCTCTCTATTAATATTATCCATAGATGGATAGTGGATAGTGCGAAAGGGTGAGTGTGTGTGTATGGCATAAAGTAAATGTGTTCAGTTATCTGTTTGTTTATAATGAGAAAAAAAATTCTATGGATGACCTTGGTTTCCTGTTGTGACCAAACCTTTATCCCTAGGGGTCATGATTTGATCATATTTGAATCTGCAATACCTAGAGATACTTCCATAACAATATAAATAATCATTGCTTTCATGTTCTTATGAAAATTTTCAAATACTTTTTTGCTTACTCATGGCATATGATCCCAACTCTAATGTTTTGTGTGGTCCATTTGTTATGTTCAAATTGAGTTTGAGCTTAAATATTCTTCGCAATTTCCACATTTCATTTCCTATATATCCCTATATATAAAACTTTGATTCCTCTGTGGTCCCATCTTACTCACAAATGTCCTGATTTGGGAAAACTTGAAACTACACTACCTAAATATTCTCTCTACATCAATATGATCAATAAGGCATTTGCTATTATTCAGAGAACATCTTTAAGATATTTTCCCATAAATTTCTTAGTAAAGATTTGATTTCCCAGTATGATCCCACCTTACCCCCACGTTTCATAAACCTGAATCTATGTACAATAAGTTAGGTTACTTCTATATCAGTATAACTACATGTAGCTCCTGAGAAGAAGATATGAAATATTTCCCTTTATTTGTTCTTTTAATCCCCTTCCCCGCAGTCTCCCATTTTAACACATATACCATTTCATTTAGTGAATATTCATCACATTTGGACAATGATCTGCCTACTTTGACTGATAGTACATTCATAGCAAAATTATTTAAGAACCACGAACGATAGTATTGTTCTCCCGCCTACCTCTAAGTCAATTCTCAAAAGTAAACATATTCGAATGATTTTCAAAATTTTTATAGATATTTATATGAATTTTAATAAAACATTACTTTTTTGGGATACCAAAGAGAGATAACTCTATAATTTTGGTAAAACTTGAGTTTTTCACTATAAAAATCAATGGAAAACGGAAAATATTTTTAAAACATCTCCCCCCCCCCGTGAAACAAAAAATCCTTTTTACAGGTAATATGGACTGTCATTTTACAAATTTATGCCAAAGCTTTTTGTGTTTCACGGGGGGGGACATATGTTTATAGACAATAAATGAAAAAATGCGGATTTTTCACCAATTCTAAAGCTATTTACAACTAAATAATTGTATTTTATTAATTTATATATGTTTCATTTATTTGCGTAAGACATTAGAGAAGATATGAGATACATTTTATCATATTTAAGACTATTTCAAAATATGGTGATTCTTGAAAGTTCGATTTCGCTAGAAAATAGCGTTTACCCCCCTTTTTAGAGAGCTGAAATTAATGATAATTTACTATCTAGCGCTGGAATTAAAATGATTAATCAATTACCATAGAACTGTTCTTTGTATTAAACAAAGATTTAACGGCCAAATTGCCATTAAAATTGAATTCAATGAATGCAAAATGTAGGCGAGAATCAAGAGTTAGAGTACGTAGTTCTTTCATCGCCGATTAGCCAGTACACTTTTCTAATTTCAAAAAAAAAATCTGGCTAATTTGCTACATGTAACCTACATCAGTTGGAACTTAACATCTGTTCTTGATTTATATACGGAAGAAATCTATCATTGGAAAATATATCTGATGGTAGGATAGCTCTGTAGTACGCATATTTTCAAATTTTTGGAGCCCCCTCCTCCTCCAAATGGAAAACAGTTGCTACAGGCATCTATCAAGCTGTATTTGGATTGCTGTATATCAAAGTATTTTGTGAACCTTGATGCACAAAACATATACCGATAAAGACTTGTTATATCTTTTAAAGGTACTTAGACACAGTTATGAAGTTATTTTCTCTATAATATTACGACTTATATATTTTGATAGCATTTAACACAAAAATTAATTATGAATCTTATTTCATATGAAAGATATTAAAATTTCAAATTTTTTGGTGGGTTTGATTGACACATCCTTGCTCTTTCACAAATTAATTCTATTCTTAGTCCTTGTGAAAAGTGGCAATCTCGTTGTGTATTAA